CTCACCCTGGAGACAGTTCCCACCTGCCTGAAGACTGCCACCATCATTCCAGTCACAAAGAGCTCTACAGTGACTGGTCTGAATGACTATCGACCAGTAGCCCTCGCCCCAATAGTCGCTAAATGCTTAAAAAAAACTGGTCATGACCCACATTAAAACAACCATCAACATCAACGAGGACCCTCATCAGTATGCATACCGTGAGAATCGATCAACAGAGGATGTCATCTCCTCTGTGGTCCATACTGCTCTCACCCACCTGGAGCAAAAGAACTCCTACGTTCGTATGCTCTTTGTGGACTCCACGTGTGCCTTCAGTACCATGATCCCCCAAACCCTGATTGAAAAACTATTCACACCAGTACTAAGCCCCTCCATTTGCAACTGGGTCCTGGACTTCTTAACAAACAGACCACAGTTAGTGAGGATCCACAACTTCTCCTCCTCCATCATAAGTCAGCAATGACTCCTCTCAGGGATGTGTGCTGAGCCCCCTCCTGTTTACTCTGCTCACGTATGATTGTGCAGCTACCCATCCAGGCTGTCACATTGTAAAGTTTGCAGATGATACAGCGGTGGTGGGATGCATCACAAACAATGATGAGTCCAGCTACAGGCAGGAGGTGGAACACCTGGAGAGCTAGTGCAGGAAGAACAACCCTCACATCAATGTGAAGAAGACCAAGGAGATGATCGTGGAATTCAAAAGGAACAAACACACCTCCCCTCCCACCTCTGAACATAGGAGGATCTGCTGTGGAAGTGGTCTCCAGCTACAAGTACTTGGGGGTGCACCTGAATGACAACCTCAGCTGGGGTAACAACAACACCAGTCTGATCAAGAAAGCTCATCAGAGACTCTACTTCCTCTGGCGGCTGAGTCGAGCTGGTTTGGGAAGCTCAGTCCTCACTTCCTTCTACAGGTGTGCAGTGGAGAGCATCCTGTGCTCCAGCATCAACGTGTGACATGGAGGCGTAACAGAAGTCTGTTGGAGTCAGCCTCCCCACCATCACAGACATCTACACCTCCAGATGTAAAAAGAGGGCTACCTGCATCATGAAGGACCCCACTCACCCAGCACAAACACTTTTTGCCCTGCTCCCCTCAGGAAGGAGGTTGAGGAGCATTAAGTGTAGAACCACTAGACTGAGGAACAGCTTCTACCCTGAGGCTGTTAGACTCATGAATCTCTAACCAGAATAATCACTGTGAAAAATCACATCATGCTGCTGCTGATCTGTTTCATGTTGCTGCTGATCTGTTTCATGTTGCTGTGTTCATTCGTGCTCATCTCCTCACACAGACTCATGTTCGTGCTGCTGTTCGGTGTATTGTTTTTGTACTACTAGTGCTTAGCGTATTTTTCTTAGTTCATAGCTTAGATCTTATTACCGTTTTTCTTTTACATTTTATACTTTTGTTGGATGTAACTGGGACCCTGTGTACATAATTTTGTTCCACCATATGTGGTTCGTATGACAAATAAAGAACCTTGAATTATCTAAAATAAATTAGAAAGTACCACTGGATTTGTTCTAAAGACAAAATGCAAAGCACTGTGCAATGAATAACATAAATCACTCATTCTGTAGGCCTTTAATTATAATATGTTGTTTGTGCTTTTTCATGTGCTAGAAAATGTTTCCAATATTTGTATCTATGGTTGATCAAGATTAATAAAACCATTTTTGGTACAGTGACCAAAATCAAACCGATAACAGTTAGTGTGGCAATGGTCATGTATAGGAAAAAAAATCTTTAACTGATTTAAAATAAATAATATTGTGATAACTAAAAACACTTTACTGTATGTCCTAGTATTGTGGTCCTGCTAAATGTGGTATGTGGTTTACATACCTCTACAGTCCCTGACATATGATCCAGGAAACATTCCATCAGCCTTCTGGGTCATTGCGGTGATACAGGGAACTAACATTGCAGGAGGTTTCCATTTGACCGAGGCAACCTATTTTTGTCTCGGACAACCAGATCACGCCTTGAAGTTTCAAATCAATTCTGTTTATTTATTTATTTTTTATTTATTTATATAGCACCAAGTCCCAACAGAAAGAAGTCTTATCAGGGAACTGTACAGAAACACTTGACACATTATAAAAGCCAATTGGTAAAAGTTCTCTATCTAAAGAAACCAGCAGATTGTGTTGAATCTTCACTTTGTCACAGTCTCCCACCCTGAGCAAGCACAAAGGCAACAGTGGAAAGGAAAAACTCACTTTTAACTGGGGGAAAAACTAAACGACCTACAGCTTAACCAGGCTCAGGACGAGCAGCCATCTGCTTCAACCGGCTGGGGTTTGAGAGGACAGGAAGCAGAAACAAACAAACAGGCAGTGACAGATCCAGGTCTACTTTCTACTGGAAGAACCCCCCCCCACACACACACACACACATATTAAGATATAAATAATTACAAATAATAACAGAGTAGAGCAAGTAAAGACAGCAGCAGAGTGAGGAACTGTGGTCAGTTTTTCCTTCAGCAGTCTAAGCCTATAGCAGCATAAGTAAGGGATAGCTCAGGAAACCCAAGCCCACTTTGACTATAGGATTTACCAACAAGGAAAGACTCAAGCCCAGTCTTAAAACTGAACAATGTGTCAGCCTCACGGACAGAAAATGGAAATTAGTTCCACAAGAGAGGAGCCTGATAAGTGAAAGTTCTGCCTCCAATTCTACTTTTAGAAACTCTAGGAACCTCAGATAAACCTGCAGTCTGAGAGTGACGTGCTTTGTTAGGAAAATATGGAACAACAAGATCTGTAATATAAGATGGAGCTAGGTTGTTGAGAGCTTTGTATGTCAGAAGAATATACATACTGTAAATACAGTTGTTGGTCATAAAATTAAATATCATGAAAAAGTTTATATATTTGAGTAATTCCATTCAAAACGTGAAACTTGTATATTATATTCATTCATTACACACAGACTGATATATTTCAAATGTTTATTTATTTTAATGTTGATGATTATAACTGACAACTAATGAAAATCCAAAATTCAGTATCTCAGAAAATTAGAATATTACTTAAGATCAATAAAAAAGGATTTTTAGAAATTTTGGCCAACTGAAAAGTATGAACATGAAAAGTATGAGCATGTACAGCATCAATACTTAGTTGGGGCTCCTTTTTCCTGGATTATTGCAGCAATGCAGCGTGGCATGGAGTCGATCAGTCTGTGGCACTGCTCAGGTGAGAGCCCAAGTTGCTCTTATAGTGGCCTTCAGCTCTTCTGAGTTGTTGGGTCTGGTGTATCACATCTTCCTCTTCACAATACCACATAGATTTTCTATGGGGGTTAAGGTCAGGCGAGTTTGCTGCCAATTAACATGGTCCTTAAACCAGGCACTGGTAGCTTTGGCACTGTGTACAGGTGCCAAGTCCTGATGGAAAAGGAAATCTGCATCTCCATAAAATTGGTCAGCAGCAGGAAGCATGAAATGCTCTAAAACGTCCTGGTAGAAGCTGCGTTGACCTTGGACCTCAGAAAACACAGTGGACCAACACCAGAAGATGACACGTCCAAAGTTATGTTCTCTGATGAAAGTCAATTTTGTATTTCCTTTGGAAATCAAGGTTCCAGAGTCTGGAGGAAGAGAGGAGAGACACAGAATCCACGTTGCTTGAGGTCCAGTGTGAAGTTTCCACAGTCTGTGATGGTTTGGGGTGCCATGTCATCTTCTGGTATTGGTCCACTGTGTTTTCTGAGGTCCAAGGTCAAGTACAACTCAGCAAAGCTGAGCACAATTATCCATTACTTGCATTTTACTGAGTTAGATGTACAGTAATCCTGGAAAGTATTCAATCACACCACAATGTAAACTAGCAGGCCACAAGCAAATTCTACCATTTTGATTACAGTAGTTATTAAAAAAACTGAATAATGCATTATGTTCTTCTCAACTTCTGCTCTTCCATTATTAATACTGACTATAGGGACTCCTCCGTGTCGTTAAAATTCACTAAAATCTGACATCTTCAGACTACTTCTTCCGGAATTATGCTCATGATTCTTTAATCTAATTCTTAGATTAAAGTCAGAAGTCTCATTATCCTGTGATTAACCTGTATAAATAAAGGTTGAATTAAAGTCAGAATTCTGAGTTTTAAGTCAGAATTCAGGAAAATATGTAAAAAAAAAAAGTATTGCATCATAATGCGGCCCTAATTCTTTTCCGGTACTTTGGATGAAAGACGAAACGTTTCGACAAAAAGAAACTGTCCAGAGGACCTGATTTAACTTAGTTGGATTTTTTTTTTGTTTTGGATTTTGATCTCTTCCGGTTTAGTTGTCAACCCCGCCCTCTCGCAAATTGCGCATTACGTCATCACGCACAAACACGGAAACAGAAAACGAAACGTTCTCTGTCGTCTTCAACAGTGAGAGTTGGGTCTTTGCGCCTTTAGCGTCCATTTTCCGAGGTAATTGTGTGTTTTTAAACGAGCGCTGGCGTTTTTGTCCTTCATTAATTCGCTGTATTTTATATTGTTTTAGTTTATATGGACGTTCTACTTGACCTTAATGCGTCCTTGCTCTGTCTTTGTACTGTTTTTTTTACTTAACATCTAAGAAGTACTTTCTTTCATATTCCAATAAAATATTGGTGTTATTTAAAAAGTTAGTCTAAAGATTAAACGACAGGTTTTACAGTATTTGCATTTGTAGTAAAAATATCCAAAATAACTGACCCGTGTTTGTTGGTACGTTTTCATTGTCAGGTGTGTCAGGATGGTGGTGCTTTCTAAGGAGTATGGATATGTGGTTTTGACTGGTTTTGCCAGTATGGTCATGGTGGGACACCTGGCCTTGAAAGTTGTTAAAGCCCGGAAGAAGTACGACGTGCGGGTGAGCAGAAGTGTCTCTTTGAAGCCACTGTTTTTACAGCCTCATGCAAAATGTAAAATGTCTCCGCGTCCTGTTTCAGTATCCTCAGATGTACAGTGATGACCCTGAGAATGGACACATCTTCAACTGCATCCAGCGTGCCCACCAGAACACGTAATGTGAACCCCCCTGCTGTAATGTTATTATGTGGCATTGATAAGAAACGTGCATCAGGTGAAATTAATCTGCTCTTCCCACCTTTCACCAGACTGGAAGTGTACCCCGCTTTTCTATTCTGCCTGGCCATCGGTGGTTTGCATTGCCCTGTGGGTTTAGATTCTTTTTATTTTTTTCATTGCACCATCATGCTACATAAGTTAACTTTAAGAATTGGACCTTACATGTGGTTGTGTGTCTGTCTCAGCGTCTCGTTAGTGGACTTGGAGTCGTGTGGATCGTTGGCAGAGAGGTGTACGCACATGGCTACTCATCAGGAGGTAAGGAAAACCTAGGGCAGAGTTCTGAGTTTGTGTGCAGGGCTTTTACAAATCTTGCCATCTGTCTTCATCAGAACCCAAAAAGCGAAAATATGGAGCGTTTGGGACTCTGGCCTTATTTGGGATGATGCTGAGCACATTAAACTTTGGTCGCCATCTGCTGGGCTGGGCTGGGCCGCAGTTTGGGCCCTTCCGTACCAAGTGTTGTCATTAAAGGATGGAAGACTTCCTTTTGCCGTTGCTCAATCTTTATTACTCTAATCAAAGCAACTAAACACGACGTAAAGACTCTTCCTTGTAGCATGTCTGCTGGTTTGTGACCAGTGTAACAAGTTGAGTTCATGTTGACAAGTGATCAGACTGGTTTTCTGCAAATATACAGTTAGATTTCTTGATGTGGTGCACTGACAGATCAGTATTCCCATTTCAAACAGGAGCTGAGTTTATCTTTATATGATGTTTAGCTGCACCCTGATTCTGAGAATGTACCGGTAATCTTTTGCTTACATAACCTGTAATATTGTGTGTTTGTTTCAAAAATAAGTGTAGATGACATCACCTCAATTTGTTGCTTTTACCAAGTTTAAAAATAAAGATTTTGTACCTTACTGGTCATTGAAGTATTGTTCTAAGAATTTTTTTTTTCCCTACACATTGCTCCTCATAATCCACACAAATGAGGAAAAAATGGGACATTTTTTTAATGAGGAAGTACGTAACGTGGGTAAGCTGTCACTATCTTACCTGCAGTAGACAGCAGTTAGAATTATATCCGTTTGGAAAGACGTGTCAATTCTGGGTCGAGCTAACAGAATTTCTGCCAACTAAAAACATTAAAATGTTTAAAGTTGTTAATTCAAATGCTGCATTATAGATCTTTTGAAGTGCATCACTTCTGCATCACTTACTTGACCTGAATTTGTTTTTCAGTGTGTTTCATATGAAGCCTGTTAAAACACACTGTTCCACTGCTTTAGTGTAAATAACTTGATTTAAGTGTGATGCTGTATAAAAGTTTAGGATTGAGTGTTCACTAAAAATGTCCTGATGCTCAATAATCCATCCATCCATTATCTTTTACCCGCTTATTCCATTTTGGGTCACGGGGATCGCCAGTGCCCATGTCCAGCAATCACTGTGCGAGGGGCGGGGTACACCCTGGACAGGTCTCCAGTCCATCACAGGGCCACATAGAGACAAACAACCATTCACTCTCTCACTCACACCTAGGGACAATTTAGAGTTACCAATCAGCCTAACATGCATATTTTTGGTCTGTGGGAGGAAACCGGAGTACCCGGAGAAAACCCACGCATGCACGGAGAGAACATGCAAACTCCACCCAGAGAGGCCCCTGGACCGGGGTTTGAACCAAGGACCTGCTCACTGAGAGGCAGCAGCTCTACCAGTTGCGCCACCGTGCTGCCCTTCAATAATCCAGGTAAATAAATCTTAACAAGGTTAAGTCAGGTCCTCTGGACGGATTCTTCTTCGTTGAAATGTCCTGGATCTATTAGAGCATGGCTGGATCAAAACAAATTTGGGAAGCTCGGTGTGAAGACTAATGGTTCTACACTCCTCACCAAACTGTTTTTTCTGCATCCACAAGAAGCTCTCCTGCACTATCCCTACACTATTTCCCATGATGGACCCATGTAAGGTCACCACGGCACCACATGGCCTTGTACCTGGCATGTTGTTCTTGGATGGCTTGTGGATGCAACTACATGCTAGAAGAAAAGGCTATGTTAGCATGTCAAGTGCATGATGGGGTTGGAGTGTAGGCATGATGCCAGCTTGGTTGGTCCCGCTTCAAAATCTCAGTGACCACGGCATGCCGGTGTGCACAGGCCCCATGTCATAGATAAATTCCCACCAGGGTCTATCCAGAACCTCAATATGCTGCTCTCATGAAAATAAACTAACAGCCTCACTACAGAAGTTTAGTGCAAACCTTCACAACTTAATTCTCACCTGAGGACCACACCAAGATGCTGAAAAGACTTTTCATTTTGGCAGATATTTATTTTATGTTTTACATCAATGAGTCATCATCCAGTGTGAAAGGGCCCATACCAGCTGCAAATTAAGAATTCACTTAACCCCTAAAAAACCAGAAAAAATACTGAACTACTTCCTTAAACAATCTCAGTTTATTGAGTCTTCAGTGGGGTATTATTGATTATAAGGGTGTGTCAACATGGGTGTGAGCATTTGTTCAAAGTCCATGTGGCTTGTCCAGATAAGAACAGTCGCTTTGTTCAGTTGTTGATTTCATCCCACACACATCCACACTAATCATACTTGGAAAGAGCACGCCCATTACAATAACCACGTATTGAATCTCACCAGCATCAACAATGTTTCACAACATTTACACTCATAGCAAAGTGCTTTTGTTTTGATATTAAACAGGAAATTATCCTTAAGACCATATTCTTACGTTCGTTGGGACATAAACACTTAATGTTTAAAACATGAACACTATAGCTTTAATTCTGATGCAATAGCTTTGTTGCATTTCACCCCACCTAACCAAAAAAAAAAAAGACCAAGTTGTACAAATATTGGTTGAACAGGTGCATCTAAAAAAATTAGAATATTGTGAAAAGTTCTTTTTTTGGTCAATCAGTTCAGAAAATGAAACTCATTGATTCATGACACACAGAGTGAAACAGTTCAAGCTTTATTTCTTGTCATTTTGATGATTTTGTCTCACAAATAATGTAAAAACAAACTTCAGTGTTTCAGAAAGTTAGAATATTAGAGCCAGCTTCTGGTACCTTTGCCCGTGTGGGCAGGAGACGAGTCCTGCTGGAAAATTAAATCAGCACCTCCATAAAGCTCTTCAGCAGAAGGAAACATGAAGTTTCTAAAATGTCCTGGTAGATGCTGCGTTGACTGGACTTCATGGAACTCTGGGGACCAACACCAGCAGAGGACATGGACCCAAACCATCACTGACTGTGGAAACTTCACTCTGGACTTCAACAACGTGGATTCTGGACCTCTCCTCTCTTCCTCCAGACTCTGGAACATTGATGTCCACATGACATGAAAATTTACTTTCATCTGAAAAGAGGACGTTGGGCCACTGAGCAACAGTCCAGTTCTTTGTTTTCCTCAGCAGGTAAGACACTTTTGATGTCCACTCTGGTTCAGAAGTGGTTCGACTCGAGGAATGAGACTCACGTCCAGGAGTTAATCAGCTGATCAGGGTGAGACACCAGGAGTTTACAAAATGAACCTCTTCACTATATTCTAATTTTTTGAGACATCCATCCATTATCTTTACCTGCTTCTTCCTTTTCGGGTCGCTGGTGCCCATATTCATCAGTCACTGTGTGAGGGGCGGGGGACACCCTGGACAGGTCTCCAGTCCATCAGGGACACATAGAGACAAACGAGACAAACAACCGTTCATACTGTTACTCGCACCTAGAGACAATTTAGAGTTAATCATCAAAATTACAAGAAATAAAGGCTTGAAATATTTCTTTCTGTGAAATCAATCTATGAGTTTCACTTTCTGAAATGATTGACAAAAAAAAAAAAAAACTTTTTTATGATATTCTAATTTTTTGAGCTTCGCCTGTAACTGCACTTTACTAATATTGGGTCACTTAAATAATCAAATTTAATTGTATTAAATTGATTTGGAGAATGGTGGCATTTTTTTTTCTACAAGTCACCTACTGTAGATAATGGGTAATGATTTGTGTCGGTGAGGCAGGTTACCTCTCACGTCCTGTAGGGGGCAGTGTTGTCACTTGAGTCACTTTAAAGTGCTGTACATAATGAGTCAGCTCAGGTGGAGGGCTGCCATCCCCCCTTGGTGAGAAAACACACAAGTTCCCACAAAAACTGAAGGTTTCTGGAATTATTAAGGAAATATGTTGTGACTCAGATAACTTTTCAGCTTAAAATACTTTTTTTTTCTTTCGGCTGCTCCCTTCTTCAGGGGTCGCTACAGTGAACTAACTTAGTCGCATGAAGACTTGGCAATTTTTTAAAATTTTTTTATATATATACCTTTATTTAAAATAAAAGACATACAAAACTTCTGGTTGTTAACCAGCCATCAACATCAATAATATAAACAAATTGCCAGGGGGGACATGAAACTAATACAGAGGTTGTCAAGTAGATGGTTCATGAATGTTGAATTTGTCAAGAATCGTCTTCGTATCGAAAGCTTTCTTGTTAGGGATGTATTTGATATTTGAGTCATAATTAAAAAGTTGTTGGAGGACGTATCCCATGTTTGGTTTGGAGTTGGACCATTTGGCTTTATGAAAGTGATATTTCCCGAGGAGCAGCAACAGTTGTATAAAATGGGCTGTGTCTTTGTCCATATCTTTATTATTAAAATATATATATAATGTCTCTTACATCAAAGGTGATTCTTTGTCTGGTTTTAAGCTGTGTATAGTGTAAATCAGACCAGAATATCTTACTGTATGCACATTGAAAAAATAAATGCGAAATTGTTTCAATATTGGATTCACAGAAAGAACAAGAGTAGTCGATTACAAGCTTAAATTGTTCAAATGTCTTTTTCACTGGATAAATGTTAAACTTTTGAAGGAAATTTCCTGTACCTTGTAGTTCATAGAGTATTTTTCACCAATCAACCAAGCTAGGGTCCAATCCATTTCACCGTATAGAGACCAATAGGACCTGCCAGAGGGAAGAGCTGTCTTTTGTAGAAGTGATCTTATAATTTTATTGGAGCCATTCTTTTTGGTGATATCAACATCTCCAATCCATAACCCATTTTTAGGTAGATCATTAGCGTTCGTAGTTGCACCTTGATAGAGATGCAGGCTTGCAGCATTCTGTTAGGTAGTGCAGAAAAAACTATTGCATATTCTCCTGATGTAGCAGGCAAATTAAATTTGTGTAAAAATTATTTGTAAGAAAGGAGAGCCCCTTCATCATTAAACAACTGTTTAACCAGTGTGATACCATGTTCCATCCAACAAAGACTTGGCAATTGTTTTGACACCGGACGTCGTTCCTGACGCAACCACAGACCACCGAGCTACCACAGCCCTCTGTGTGGAGCAGAGAGCTGCCATGCAGGGTGCCAGGGGGAGCAGATGGTGGGGGTTAAGGGCCTTGCTCAAGGGCCAGAGTGGAGAAAATGAGGGGGAAGGTGTGGGTGCTTCGCCTATCCCACCCATATTTTGAGGTTGTTGGTCTGGGGAGTTGAACTGGTAACCTTCCGTATACAGGCCCACCTTCTCTAACCTCTGCACCACCACTCCCCATTCAGCTTAAGACAAACAACCTGTCAAAAATAAATCTTGCTAAACTTTCAGTCACTACAGGGAACTTGTTTATTTATTTATTTGTATTTCATTAATTTACAGTTTAAAATAAACATGTCACATGTTGACATAAAACAAAAGTTCAGAATAAAAAGTAGTAGTTTGAAAAAAATCAACTTATTAATGAGACGCAGGTGCATGGAGGTGGTTTCTCTCACATGGGTCTTCACTGGTTCTTAATTTTCACACGTCCCCTCATGTTGGAAATGACTGACAGAATGTGGGCTTCCATCAGTCAGAGGGTTGTCCTCCATCAAATCATCCTGGAGAAGGTCATTAACTGTATG